ATATATATATATTTGTGACATTTCTTAGAAGTTAGGATTACTATTTATTTAATTTTTAAAATTTTTGAATTCTTTTGTCATACTAAATACAACATGTTTTATTATATTTACATTTAATATATTAATCAATATGTTGTACGAATGAAAAGAAAATTATCATTTCACAAAAACAAAGGTTAAAATATAATTTATTATGATTAAGGAAAGATAAAATTATTATTCCAATATCCATAACCATATATAATACATTAAAAATTAATTGAAAAGCTGTAAATGGAAAAGGAATCACCATTTAAGGAATCATTATTTTTAAATTTTTGGATCATTTCTTCTTGTAAAAGTTTCTATCCATACGTAACAATGAAGTTAAAATAGAAAATGTAGTACCATTCTTACTAATAGATAGTTATTTATTTTTATTAATTTTTTTTGACAATTTTGGTTATATTTTTCTTTAAAATAATTATTGCCTCGATTTTTTTTTTAACATTTATTTTTAATTTTAAAAGTTTGGAAATTTTATGTTAAAAATTTTAATAATAGAAAAAATGATTTATTTAACTTTTATCATCATCAATACTACTAATTTTTTTGACGTTTTTTCTTAATCTTCATCTCATCATTAATGTTATTTATATAATTTTGTTTAATCACTTATTTTTTCTTTTTTAACTCTTTTATATATATAAAGTTGGATATGTAAATGATGATGTGACATTTCTTAGACGTTAAGATTACTATTTATCTAATTTCTCCAATTTTTGAGTTCTTTTGTCATACTAAATACAATATGTTTTATTATAATTACATTCAATATAGTAAACAACATGTTCTAGGAATTAAAACAAAATTATCATTTCAGAAAAATAAATGTTAAATTATAATTTTATTATGATTAAGGAAAAATGAAGATATTATTTCAATATCCCATAACCACATTCAATACATTAGAAATTAATTGGATATAACTGTAAATGGAAAATGAATCATGATTTAAGGAAAATAAATGTTTGCAATACCATAATAATTAAGGAGAGAGTAAGATATTATTTTAATATCCTAATTCGGAAC